AAAAAAAAAAAAAATACACTCAACTAATCACATCTCAATATTTTTACAGCCCGTTTAAATTGTCCGTAAGTAAACAAATCTTTATATTCTTCTTTTAAGGTTTTCCTTCTATCTAATATTTAATATTTAATATTTAATCATACGACCCTATGTCCATTGGCCTTTTTCAAGGGTCAAAAGAATAACTAATGATACAAACATTTACAAAGTATACAATCAACAAAACAACTAAAAAAACAGAGAAGAGAAATACATAAAAAAAAAAAAAAAAAACACTCAACTAATCACATCTCAATATTTTTACAGCCCGTTTAAATTGTCCGTAAGTAAACAAATCTTTATATTCTTCTTTTAAGGCATTCCAATTATATATAAGTTGATAAAATGGTGCATCTCTTCCAAAACTGTGCTTGACTTTTGGTAAAATCAAATTGTTTTTCCAACGGTAGTTATAATTAGAAAACCTAAAATATTTATTTAATTCTTCGCTTATATAAGAATTTTTCTTGCTCACCTTTATTAGTTTAAAACCTTCCAAAAAAACTTGTTTTTTATATAAAGCTTTTATTTTATCAATTTTGATCTGGTTATAAAAAGAAGTGACAGAGGAATCATAAGGCAACTTATATAATGCTCTTATAAAGTTATTTTGTATAACTTGCAATCTATTCAATACAAAAGAAGAAGCTGTACCCCATACAGAAATACCATATCGAAGTTTAGGTTCCATGCAAGCGTGATACAAGCGCAAAACAGTCTCACAATTTAAAAAACTCATTATTCTTTTCAGTATTCCAATATATCTAGATAAAGACAGTGTTAAATTATTTATATGATTGTTCCATCGTAACTTATCATCAATTTCGATTCCTAAATATTTTACAGTATTAACTCTTTGAATACGTTCATTATTTATTCTTACTTGTATATCTTCTAAATTCACTTTTTTGTTTTTATTTGATAAACAAATATAATTTGTTTTATTTTCATTTACTCTTAAGTTATTATTTTCCATGTACTTACTTAATTTAGATAACAAAGAGTTTATATTATTTTCAACCAAATGAAGATTCCAATCTGCATATGTTATAACAATATCATCTGCATACAATATAATATTATTCTCAGGAATAGTCTCTACAATATCATTTATATAAATATTAAAAAGTAAAGGGCCCAAAACGGATCCTTGTGGTACACCTTTGTTAACTCGAAATGGTTTTGATATTGAATTTTTTACCTTAACATAGTACGTACGATTTGATAAATAGGATATTAGCCATTCCAATGGCACACCTCTCAATCCAACTTTAAACAATTTTTGTTTTAATATCTTAATATCAACACTATCAAAGGCCTTGGTCAGATCGATAAACACCGCCATTACAATATTTGCATTATCGAGACTGGTGCTAATATATTGTTTAAGATGAGTCAAAGCATCAATTGTTGAGGCCTCTCTTTTAAAACCATACTGATTTTTACATATAATTTTATTTTTATTGATGAATTCAAAAAATCTACTATAGAAAACCTTTTCAATTATTTTAGTTATACTCTGAATAATAGTAATTGGACGATAGCTCTCCAAGTTCTGTTTAGATCCTTTATCTTTAAATATTGGGATTACGAGATTGTGTTTAAGCTTCTCCGGAAATCTCCCATACTTAAAGGATTTATTAATTAAATAAGATAATGGTAAAGCAATTATATCTGCTATTTGTCTTAAAATAAACATATTTAGCTTATCAATATCCGGAGTGTTTGCTTTTACACTCATAATATAATCAAAAATCTCTTTAGGAGAAGTCTCTTCCAAAACAAAAGAGTCGAGTATACAGCGTGAAGAGGAATATGAGAAAAAATTATTTTTTAACGTTGATGTCACAAATCCTCCCATCTGTCTATAATGTTCAGCAAATATATTACTTATTTTTTCTTCATTTTGAAAAAATTTACCATTATATTTTAATTGATTAATTTGTGCGTTATCCTGTGTTTTAACTGCTTCGATAGGTAGACCTTTAATCTTTTGCCAAAATTCTTTAGAAGAACGTATATTAGAAAATTGTCTGTCGTAGTAATCTTTCTCTTCTTGTCTAATTTTATATCTAATATCCTTGGATAACCCTCTCAAATCCATTAATATTTTACTACGTCGATCTCCTAAAATACAACACTCTTTTAATTGTTTAAACAACCTCTTCTTCTGGCTAATTAGCTTTTTTGTATCATTTGAAATAATTTTTGCCAAAAATACCTTTCTCTTTATCTTGGTTTTCTTATTTAGTGTTATTATAGGAAAGTATTTATTAATGAAAATCTGCAGGATATCCTGAAAGTAATCCGCCAATTGGTCAACAGAAAGATCTGCAGAATAATAATAATCCCAAGCGAAACATGCTGACAATGCATTACGTAAAAGACGTGTTGATAAATTATTTATTTTTCTACGTGTTTTTAGCGATTTACCACCCATTTCCATATCTTTCCTTGGGAGAAAGAAAACTATAGGTGTATATCAGATAAAATAACAATATTTTAAATGTAAAGCTAAATTATTTTTTATAATTTTAAGGATTAATAATGAAAAAATTGTAACTTACAATTGTTGGATCATATTCTAAACATCTAGCTCGATAAGCATTTTTACGAGATGGCTTAATTCCTTTTCTGGGATCCAAAATTAAAACTTCAGTAGGTTCATTTAACTTTCTTATATCCCACCATAAAACCTAATTTAATAAATTTTTTAAAATTTAATTTACATTCAAATATTTTCTAAAAATATTAATTAATTTTAGTGCTACTTTCGATTAATAAAAATTAATAATGGACTTTACATTCAAACTATATTGTATTCTTTTATTAGTATGAAGTCAAATGTAATTTTAAAAAATGCATAGCATAAATTTCACCAATTCATTGCGGCAAAATATTAAAAATTGTGGTAGTCCCATCTGATATGATATTTTATTTAAAACTTTGTTATATTATTAATTATTATAAAGCGCTTATTATAAGTGCTTAATTTTGAGTGTAAAGATGGATTTGTAAATGCTAATAACGAGTAAAATCTTCATTAAGTTTCTAGCTAGTCAAATCACGAATGACATACGACCCACTCTATCTCTGCACCCTCGACCTTTAACCAACAAAATTTAATAGCATCAATGTCCCTAATACACAAACCTCCCCTGAATAACGGCCAGATACCCTTAAAAAGATTTCCCAGGAGGTATCGTCCAAGTGTTGCGTTGCCCGTTGCCATATCTTAACAAAACAAACAAATACTTCGTAAGACTTTTCAGACTGTTTATTTTTCCATTTAATTGTAAATTTATCAGCCTAAAATGAGATTTTAAACGGCTATATTATGAGAAATTTTTAATGCTAATAAGGAGCCATTCGTTAATTACGTGTGCAGTTTTGATCCACTTTTGACCCGTACTTTGCTATTGTGTATAATAATGTACTTTTAGCAAATCCCTCCTGTTTAATTACGGTTTACGTGTACGATAGCACTGGAGCCCTGACAGTGAAATGACTAAAAGCATTTAAAAATAAATATATATATTTTTCACTATACCGTATAAGAGCAAATTCGTATCCCCCTAATACCATTAAAAATGTCTATGTAGACAATGCCTCGATGGCTTCCCTCTCCGTCGTTTACAATGACGTAATTTTCACTATACCTCTCCCCCCTAAACTGTATATGCAATTAATAAAGGGCTCCTAAAATTACTCTTACTAGAAAAGTAAGTTACATCAAGAACTGGAAACGATGTTTCTCGATATAGTTAGCCTGAGCGAGAAGCTTGAGCTATCATATGTTATTGTTATCCACATTTGATATCATCAATTATCACATACTGCCATGACGCTCATGTCTGTCCGCTACAACTGTCAAGAATTAACGCGATTGACAAAGCGTAGTAACAGCGGGCCAATACAGATCAGGGTGCGCGATCCTTGCCATAATGCGATTTGCGTGCCAATTTTCGTACGTGCGTTAATCAAACCGAATAGTTTGGCCGAATAGCCGAATATTCGGCCACGCTCCTAGTCGAATATACTATTCGTTGCATCATTAGTAAGATGTCTTCTGTGAAAAATCTGAGGATATCTTTTTCGAGCTTACGAAGTACAAATTCGCGCATATAAGTCCTGAAATGGGACTTCTCATTGGGATCCCTTCTTTTGTTTATACGACTTCCGTTGAGTTTACAACTTACTGAGAAATAATAAAGACAAACTAAAGAAAGAAGAACAGACTAGAAAATACAAAATACCTTATGAAAATCAATAGCTACGGGTCGAAAAAGATTACGTTGGAGTCACAATAAGAAACCTCATGGTGCGACTCAAGGAACACAAGTACAATATAGAAAAAAGCCACAATAATACAGTTTTAGCGGCAATGTCACAGTTGGAAGGCTCTGTTATAAAGTGGGATGAAGCGAAAATCATTAAAAAGGTACATTCTCCAACCATCGCTATGGATACGGAAAAAATAGAGATTTACAAGAGTAAGATCAAAGGGCAGTGCCTGAACTTTTTTCCCTACATATTTTTCTATTCGCATATTTATTTGTATTTTGTTAATCTTGTATATTTTTTATGTTTATTTTTATTTATTGTTAACCTCATATTTTTCATAAGTTATTTATTTAACTCGTTTCAATTTTAATTTGTATTTAGAATTCTTCAAAAGTTAAAATTTAAATAGAATGTTCCATTTTTAGAACTGTTTCTAAAAAAACAGTTTTAAAAAACCTGATGATGGCTCATAGGAGTAGGCTGAAAACGTTTGTAATTAAAAATTTTCTCTCAGTTAATGCATACATGTGGTCGTAGATTTGTAATTTATTCTCTGCTGAGCACGTCCGAAGAGTATTAGCAGTCATTTATGAATAATAAAATTACAAATATTAATATAATCAATCATATTAATTATAAAATTTCAATGCGTTTTACAAATGCATTTTTTTTCTATTAAATTATTTCAAATTTAATCCATAGTTTAGAACATATTAATTTAAAAAAAATATATTGCCCATAAAGAAAATTTAGCCAGCCAAACACAAAAAATAAAATAAAATAATTAATATATAATAGACATACTCATAAAGAAACAATAATATTAAAAGAAGCTTGTTAATTTAAATTCAAAATATTTTTTTCAGTTTGTCGAAAAGGAAAATAAAAATAATGTAACGTATTAAACCAGAGATGGGCAACCTTTTTCGAAATGGTGGTCCAAATAAAATTTCTGTACTGTATACACGGGGCAAATATTATCTTGCCTTTCCAGGATTATAATTTAAACTAATTGAAATGGTTTGTAATAAAACTTGTCATAATTTTATGATATTTATTGTAATATTTATTTAAAAAATCTCTCTATAAGTTGAAACGACAGTTAGCTTGAACAACACCTGTCTATCTATGAACTATGATGTAAATGAAATTTTTATATAATAAAAAATATGTTTAGATTTTTGAATCACCAAGAATGAAATAGTACTGGTGATTCAATACCTAATAAATATTTGAGTTAAAAATTGGAGGTGATGTATCAACTTTCAAATTTATTTATTTAATAAGCCTATTCAATATGTCTACACGTATGCAGTAATAAAATTGCTTCAAAAGTTTTATAATGAATTAGAATAAGTTCATAACTCTATTCAAATTTATTTTATTCATACATTGAATTGTCTATATCTAAAGTGAATAATAATTTATTTAATGTATGCAGTTTGCCTATTATTCTCAGAATACAACTAACTTACTTGCCCATCTGTGGATGCAGAAAAACATTCTTTTCCTGATCTCGAATGCAACCATAACGCTTTGTAAACGGGATCATGATGGCTATATTCAGATGGAGTTACTTGAAAAGGTTCAGAATCATTCTTTCTTAAATCCCAAAAACCTTTAAAAAATTAAACATATTTTAACGATAATCATTTTCAGAATTAATAAACCTTTACTTTCCAAAGTAAAATGTAAATACTGAGGCTTATTCTTATTCTGTTTAAGTCATGATTACAGTCTTAAAAGTTATAGACTGCATCACAAATAATTACAAATTACCTGTAATTTTATTATTCTGTTTTTCTAGAGATGCAACTAGTCTTAGTAGAAAGATATTTTATTTTATATCATGATTTAAGTATGTTTATCATGGCATCTATTTTCATAGAACATATTGAAATACATAAAATTATTAGAAATATAATAGTATATAAAAACGATTTATACATATACTGTATATATAGACTATAATACGTAAACTATATATGTACTGTATATATACTGTACATATTGTAATATATACATATAGATGACTGTTTTTTAAATTATTAATACAGATAAAATTAATAAATTTTGTTTTTTAGAAAAAATAAATAAATGAAACAAAATAAAAAAATCTTTTTAAAAAGAAAGAATAAATAAATTATGTTTTGCAGTGATGGAATTAAATAATTATATGACTCGTATATTAAAATATTAAAGAGTGAATTACTGGACTCCACATGCTTTTCTACGCTAGCATTTGAAATTACAATAGTTCAAAAATTAGATATAAGTAAAATAACACACGATTCTGCTCATTTTTAGACTTTTTTAATATATATTTTTGTTATTTTTTTTAAATTTAATATATTGTAGTAAAGTTTGAAAATAAAATGAAATATATTCTCTAATTGTTGCTATTATAAAAATTTGTTATTAATTTAGTTGCTTGTTGATATTCTATTATTTTTCTTAATTAATTTCTTTAAAAACATCATGCGATTTATTTTTAATAGTCTAACTGATATAAAGCACCATTATAAAGTCAAACCCAAGTGATTTCAAAAAGGATAAGATTGATAAGGTAGAGCTTCGACAGTAATCAAAATTTAAATACTTAAAAATTTCTTATTTTATTCGGTATTCTATATTGTTTTCCTGCAATATAAAAAAAACAGACTGTAAATAAAATGACATTTTCATTCCATAAATTAATAAGAGCTCTAAAAAGATTTTGCATGTTCCTCAAAATTGTAGTTACGCACTATTAGATAAATATAAGAAAAAACAAATGAAAAAATTTAAGTAAATTTATTTATGTAACATGTATTAAAAGTTTATATAAATTTATACGTATTTAGTTATTAATTTATAACTATAATTTACATATATAAGATATTGTAGATAAAATATCTTTACTTACCTATCTGACCATTAAATGCTCCAGCTAATAAATAACTAAAATCTTTAGGATTAAATTCTGCACACATCAATGATGAAGAAAAGCATAAATTTGTAACTGGTTGAGTTAAATTATCTGAAAAAGTAAATAATTTAAATATTTCATTGAATGTTTCAAGCTAAAATATTTCGATTATATTATAAAATAGGCATACTAATGTCCCAAATATATGATTCTTTAGGAAGCTTTGATGATTCCTCAAATTTTAAGGTGGAAAGAGTAGTAACTAATTTATTTTCTTCTTCAGGGGACCAAGATATACATGTAACATACCGTGAAGGAGTAGTATTATCTCTATAAATAATCATTACGTCAATATTAAAATCAAATCAACATTATTTGATGTGACTTCCGCCTTTACAAAAGGAGATACAAAAGAAACACTAAGTTTTTGTACCTCCATTTGATATTTCTTATTATCTACGTACAATTTTGTATAAGTTAAAATTAGTTAAACTATTTTAACATATTTAATGAATGACAAAATAAAAATATAATAATAATAATAATATTCTTAACAAAACTCCGCCACACTACTAGCTGACTAGAGGCTCTGTTTGAAGAGACTAAGGAGTTTATGGAAATTTTTACTCGCTCTCAGGAGAGGGTAAGTGTCCCGTTTACCCCCTCTGTGAACGATCATGGCAGTAGACAAATCCAATAAAGGGAAAAAAGATTCCAGCCGTTAAAATTTAAAAACTGGTTCATCTTTGACGTTTACCAGCCAAGATATGGGGATGACTTCGAAGGAAGGAAAGGAAGAGGGGTACGAGACACCGTAGCTGTATTCAATGCCTCCAATTAGTAATAACACACGTATTAGCAAATAAAAATCAAAATATTGATAAAACGGAAATAAAATAAACATAAGAAATTATACAATTCATATCCAAAACATTAAAGTTCACTGTTAACAAGTTCGTCCAAAAAGTTACCATCACCGACGAACGTTACAAAGCGCCCCAATACGTCAATATTAAACTTGAGTAATGTGAAAAGGCATATAAAAAGTCACAAAATGTAAATTGCATTTAAACATTCTTCTACAATTAGAAATAATTTTATTATTTTTAAATAGGACGATAGTAACAGAAAATTTATATTGTCAGATTTATAAGAAAAAACGCAATAGTAAATAGTAAATACTGTTGTTGAAATTTCATTTCATTATTTAATTATACCTCGTATTTTAGATATGGTCAAATTTAATTCACATTATAAAATTTTTTGTTAGTTTGGTTATAAGCTTTTTTTGCTAGTCTAATCTTTCTTTGTCTTAATATAAATTATCTGTTCAGAATAAAGTTTATATTAACGTTATTTTTCAGATATAGTTCATATTTTAACATTTAAATTATCATCAAAACATCTAAATTTAATGCATCACAGTATTAAGTTTCAAAATTATCAGTATAATCGTATATCTTTATTGGTTATTTAACTAACCTGATTACATTGACAACTCTTGTTTCATCATTTATTATATCTTGTTCTTCCTCCTCATCGCTGACAAAATATTCTTCATAAATATTGATAGCATTATTTTGTTTCACGCAATGTTCCAATTGCTAAAATAAAAGAATTTTAATGAAATTTGCTAATAATAGACGTTGTGAGTGCTTTCTGCTGTCTAATACACACCAGAATCATAGTAAAAAACCAGGTTAACATAAAAATACTAAAATATGATAAAACTTGTTAGTCAATGTCTAAGAAAAACATAAATGGTAAATGTAAAAGAAAATATGTATAGTATATGGTTTAAAAAATTAAACAAGTCGCGTTTCAAGTTAAACTTGTTATAATACAAGGAAAATTTATCTCGAGACGAAATGTCGTTTTAATATTTTTAAATAAAATTTAATATATATGTAATCTTTAAATGAGAAAAACATATACATTGCCTTGACATCTACTTGGACTGACAATGTGAGTTGGTAAAGGAAAACTGACAATGTGAGTTGGTAATATGGTTTATTAAATATTGAATACCTCTGAAATCAAAAAGTATCGGAAATGGTTCAATAAAACGCGTGATTTTAATTTGTTCATCAAAATCTTCAAAATTTATTTCTTCCCCTTCACAGTAAACCGCTCCCACTGCGATGCACTTATGCCAACGTCTTTTCCAATCACCGAAACATGATTTAAATTCGTTTTCGTGAAATTTCTTTAGGATTCGCAGCGAATTTTGTTTAATGGCATCAATTGACTCAAAACGGTGACCACAAAGCGAAAATTTTAGTGGATGAAACAGGAAAAAGTCACACGGTGGCATATTGAGTAAATACGGAATTTGTCGAAATTTGTCCAAAAATTCACGAATAACATGAATATTGTGTATATTACGAATGATAAAACATGGTAGATCCATGTTTTATCATTAGTAATGATGCGTTTTAAGAACGATTCGCCTCGAGAAATCATTTCCTCGACCACTCGAACACGTTGTTGCTTTTTTGGAAAAAAATTCAATGTTTTCGTCCCAAAAAGAAACGATTCAAGACCAAATTTTCCTTTAAAATTGCTTGACAAGATCCAAATGATACCGGAAAATGTTTAATAATGTTCCTAATTGTTAAACGATGATCATTGAACACCAAATCTCTGACTCGAGCGACGTAATGTTTATCGGTTGAAGTGAATAGTTCGTCTTCGACGCATTCTCTGCCTCCCTCGAACATCTTGTACCGATCGAAAACTCTTGGTTTTGATAGACTATTGTCTTTGGTGACAATTTTTCAATATTTTTGTAGCAGTAGTCTAATTTCGTTGCGAAAACATGCTAAAATAACTAAAATGCATATAAAAATTTTTAGACCTATCTCAGAGATACTAAACGTTCGAACTATTAAAATTTTTATTGATCTTTAGCAGTACCAGATGAAGCTTGTACCAGACCCTAGACAAAATTTAAATTGGAGCCCCATTTAAATAAGTCGCTTCTAAAGAAATCTTAAATAATGCCACTTAAAATTTTATTAATAATATAAAATAAAAATAATAATACAATAATAATAATTGTATAATAAAAAATTATCTTGTGTAACGAAAAATGCATAATTATAGTCATTCAACTTTTAAAAAGCCGAGCCCCTCCAAATTACGGACCCTAGACATTCGTCTTATTTGTCTTTAGTAATTTACTGTAAAAAAAAAAAAAAAAAAACAATCGGCAGCAACCCAAACATTTAAATCTAATCACAAAGAAAATTTTTGAATTTATTTCAATGTTAGACCGAATTAATTTTGTCTGTTAAGTTATGACAACGCAAACTTGGACGACCTGTCTAGGAAGAGATGCCTTCAGGGGGATCTTTTTAAAATTTAACTGGCCCCTATTCAGTCATTACAGACGTGGAGAAAACCCAGAAAACTCCATCGACCGAACTCCCAGTGTTTAGGGAAAGGAACCGCTTGGCCATGAATTTATTTTGAATCATAAAGTTACTGTAATTGAAAAATATATTTAAATATATATTTATCGATCTACTTACTCCCGCAAGATTCAAAACGACATTTTGAAAATGTTCATCTTTTTCAACTTTCTTTCGAAATCTCGTCACTTGTTTCTCATCTGTCGGATCGACGTCTTTCGGCCATCCACCTTCTTCGTGGTTCATGCCTCTATTTTCTGTTCCATAATGTTCAGTGTTAACCTGTTTTAAATACACAAATATTGTTAAATATAAAAGAAGATTTTTTTTCAAAATGAAGATATATTTTTAAAATATCGATTTAATTTCAATCATAATAAATGTATAAAATATATTTGTTATTTATAATACAAATATAATCTTTAATACCTGATTACAGGCTACGACGGTCGAGCATTGGACTTCTCTATTAATTCTAGACACGTGGACAAAATTATCCCGGAGTGAAATATCCGGTACAATATCGACCAGAATGTCTGGACCGTGATCGGTAAAGTTACAAGGTCGTCCGAATTGCCTTCGTTTCTTCGTATAAATGTAATTTATATTCATTTTTGTAGTCAGTCAGACGGATTCCATTTTGAAATTGAACGAGCCGGTTGCTATGGCAACTTTTAATAAACAAGCATAAACATCGGAATCTAACATAATTTTTTCTTTTTGAAAATTTTAAATATTACGTAAACTTTATTATTTCTAATTTTTATATAAAATTTTTCTTCGAATTAATTTTAAATAAAATATAACAGTTCGGTCATATCTTGTAATTTTTTAATATATATATATGTTATGCATACTAATTAACATCGGCTCTATTCTTATTCTGGAAAGACTATATCATGAGATACAGCTTGGTTAATGAGTCAGTAAATAATGATTGGAATATTGATACCATTAATTTCTTGTAAATAATATTTATAAAAATACAGTAATATAAACATCTAAAAGCCGATAGTTAGGTGTATATATTAAAGCCGAACGAATACCGGATTATATCGGACTACATATTACTATTATTAATTTGGCAATACAGGCAGGCATTAGGCACTTTCTCTTGCTAAATTTAATCATTATTATTAAACTAACATTTTAAAAATTAATTTAGAAAGAAACTGAACGGCCAAAAAACGGAACTCGAACCCGCAACTCCCAGCTTACCGTGCCAGCCACATTACCCGGATATTCGTCCAATTCCTGCTTTCAGAACTTATTAATTTGGATATAACCATACCCGATTACCTATGATGGCATAGCATTTAATTAGTAATAGCAGTATTAATATAATTCGATATAATCCGGCAATTTTTTGGCTTTAATATAAAAATAATTTCTTCTCTACGTGTTAGTTGAACGCTTAAGATCATGCCGAACACCAATTACAATTTTAGTTGTAGACAGGTCCAGATTACATGACAATAGCCGTGAAAGCAAACCAAACAATAATAATTCTAATTTAAACTTAATCTATCGCTTTTATCTCATTGAAGTTTTCAAAACAGTACACACTAAAAATAACCATTACGAAGAGAATTAAATCAGTCATAAGCAAAAATCAAAGCTCATTTTTTATTAGAATTGTATGTAAGGAGTAAAAAGGCTAAAAACAATTAAAATTTTGAAATATTTCATATGAAAAAAATGTATAAAAGTACTTGTAATCCTTCTCTTATTACAATTACAGTAGAACCTCGATTATCCGGACTAATTGGGGATAAAGGTTGTCCTGATAATGAAAAATTCGGATAATCGAAACAAATACTTTAATTTGTCTTTTAATGATAATACAACACGTTTTCTTTTCGATGACATATCGATAATATTAAAAGTAAATACTGTATTTAAATCGTGATCAAATTTTCAAGAAACAAACGTTCGTATAGAATTTCGACTACTACTGACCAACGCTAACAGACTACTTATTGTTTAAAAGGCCCTCTGGTGGCGCAAGAAGACGGATTTTATAAAATAAAAAGCAGTTGAAACTGCATTTTTATGAATAAAAATTTGACAAACTATTTATCGTTTTATGACGAGTAATATTTTTTCGTCGCGTTTGCGGCTTTTAAGTAATGCATAAACCTTCGAAACGCGAGGCCCTTCGGACCGCGAGGCATAGGCGGTGGCCCACGTCGTCCATGTCTTACGCCGCCCTTGGTCATAGAAATGATGTAATTTGAAAATAAATTATTTATAAATACGTATGTCAAGTTATATTTTTATTACGACGCAAAATATATTTAAGAGTTTACGATCACTGTGCCGGGTGAGACGTTGTTGAAACAAAAAAAGTTATGTATTCCATCGCGTACATAAACAGTGTCGTAATTCGCCAAGTGCAAATCAGCAAATTCGTAAAATTTTTGTTTATTTTGAACAATCCGGATAATCAAAAATCCGGATAATCGAGGTTCTACTGTACATTATTACAAAGCGGTAATATCTCTACATCTTGGATAAATTTCGTTTTCAGTGATGATATTGTTTATTTATTTATTTCTCGTTTTACGCTGTGGGCACTAAAAGTGCGTTAAAATCATATCTATCGTGGATTCGGCCAAGCCCACATTGGAGGGCCGCCAGTTGGCGAGTGACGAGCCTCCCTCACTATTAATTTAAAAATTTAACATACCTGCACTTGCATATTAATGAAAACCTTAATGAATTGCATCTTCTAATGATGAAAGTAAGTTAAGTTCTGTACTCCAAAATTTAATAGAATCGACATCCTTTATATACAAGTTTACATTTACCCCATATTTTTCACTTTTTTTGAATCAGGCGGTCTCAAAATGTCGAGAGTTGCGAAACACCCGGAGGGTCAAATCTGACACGATTACAATACTTCCCCTTGTTATAACAGCTGGGAAAGTAAAACAGGTATAATATTTTCAGATTTAATCTTTCAGTTGTGTCATAGAATTCTTTTTATAAAAAATTTCCTTATATGGCCTGACTCCATATCAGTTTTTATATTTCTTTAATTCTGCAGCATGCTGTAAGTGTACTGTACTGTACTGTACATCAGAAATAAGCACCTTTGTTATTTTAAGAGTGTAGAAATTATAATATTACAAACTATAACCAAATATCTGAATGAGAGTTTTTTAAAAATACAGATTTAGGACTGTATATGAAATTATTTCCATTTAAATTTAAATCATAATGAAATTATATATATTTTATCTATAAACAAATGTGAACATCGAACATGCTAAATTAAGTGATGATGTTATTTATTTAAATAACAAACAAATACGTTATTTCGGGTTGTTCACATTTTGGGAAACTGTAATCAATTACTAAATTTATATTTACCACAAATGTGTTCGTCTTTATCAGATTTTGATGATAATTATTATTGTTTATCAAGGTTTATCAATGACTAAACACTTTTTCAAAATATAAATCAACTAAAATTGCATCAAAATAAACATAAGCATGGACCCTTTCTCTATAACAGTTTCCTTTTTTCTCCTGGTTATAACTATCTTTCTATGGTATAGGTAAGTAATATGAAGCATTATTTACGTTTATTATTAAAATGTGGATTTATTTGAAAAAATTTAAAATGTTTAGATGGAGAATTAATAAACTGTCTTTATTTACTAAACTTGGAATACCTGGTCCTAAACCAAGTTTTTGGACAGGTAATTTAAAGGAGATAATTGAGAAGGTAATAAAACTTTTTGTTTCTTTCCTCTTAATATTCCACAGATTGTTGACTTTTTTCTTAAATTCATTTTATAGGGCATCAATTGCGAAAGCGAATGGATTGAAAAATATGGAAAAATAGTTGGGTATGAGAATTTTAATAAATAAATTAAATTTACGATAGAAATTCCAGTAAATTAATTTTGACTAAGTAAATAAATGGTGAAAATTTTAATTATTTAATATTTAAGTACTGTATTATTTTATTGTTGTATGGTCATGGGCGATCTGCCAAGAGAGGATGTCTCCGAAAGGCTTTTCTATGAGAAACTGGTTCCTATTTAGGTGTTATACACGTGAATAAAATTCGGAGAACTTCACGCGACCAGTTCTTTGGTCCTCCTTTTTTACTATATTAAAAATTGATCGAGAGATGCTTAGAATCATTATTTATTCTAAGCATCAATTAATTACGCATAAAATAAAACATTCCTTTATCATTTATAAAAAAGCCTAAATCAGTTTCTATTTTTCTTAGTTACTTCTTTGGAACTAGACCAATTTTACTAATTGCTGACCCAGAATTGTTAAAGATTGTTTTGGTTAAAGACTTTACTAATTTTATGAATAAAGATGTAAGTTTTGTAATTATTTTATGTCCCAACATCCTTTTCAATAATTCACTGTATACTTTTTTTACAATATAATTAAGGTTTTCGTGCCTTATGCGGGTGTTTCTACGGAAAAAATGAAATATGCCATTGGATTGCAAAAGGATAAACAATGGAAATTCATTCGTAGCGTTATTACACCTTCATTTAGTAGCGTAAAATTAAAAAGTGTAGTTATCTAATTTTAAAAAATTATTAAAAATATCTGAGAATTTTTTTATAAGATATCAATTTTATAGATGATGCCTATATTTAATGAGTCCATTGAAGTATTCTTAGACAAGATTTCACAAGAAGAAAGCAAAAAGTCATCTTTCGATGTATATCCTATGTACAAAAAGATGGTTTTGGATATAATTACCAAAAATGCTTTTGGAATATCGACAAACGTTCAACTTAATGATGATAATATTTACTTGAAATGTGTTTTGAGAGTCCTCAATAATGGAGCTGCTGACATTCTAAATTTCGTATCCTGTAAGTTATTACTTATTATTGTCCTTCGTAAGTTATTAAAGCATTGTATACATAAACAGAGTATTTTTCTACAGTATGCTTTCCAGAAACGGAACCGATACCATCATTTTTAAAAATAACCATAGACAAATTTCGTTCAAAGTTAGGTTTACCGTCTGTAACTATGTTGGTTAATATTTGCGAAACAGTGATCAAGAAGAGAAAATCGGATCCTCAGGTTCTTCATTTAAAATATATTCCTCTATCTTTAATTAATTATACATTTTAATTGAACTTTTCAAATTTCAGTCTCGACGTCCCGATTTACTTCAAAGTTTAATCGATTCTTCTATTTCTAAAGAAGAATTGTCAAATACCAAAATAGAAGAATTAGAAGCGAGTGATGATTCTAAGGAGAAACACTCTACAACAGGTTAATACTTCATTTATTTATCTATATATTAAGCCTATATTCTGTGAAATCAATTTTTAACACGCCTTTATCATCTTAAACGTTAGATAAAAACAAGTCGAGTAAAAATCTTCAATTTTTGACAAAAGAAGAAATTACAGCTAATGCAATGGTATTTATAATAGCAGGGTGAGACCAATTCAAATTTTGATAAATATTCAATATTCTCTTAGAATTCTTAAATTTAATAATATTTAAATGCGATAATTATTTTAAAATATATATTTATTTCTAAAGTAAGAGCTTAATTTCATTAAAAATCAGATAAATTAATTTTTAAATGAATTTTACCGAACATTTATTATAGTTATGATACTACAAGTAGTTTGTTGGCTTTTACAACTCATTTTCTTGTTAATAATCAAAATATTCAAGATAAAGTGAGGAAAGAGATAATGGATAACGTAGACTGTGAAGTAGGTTTACATAATTCATTTTATAATTATCTCATTAATAACTATTTTACTTTTATACATTATATTAATTACAAAACAAATAATTAAAATCTCTAATAATTTTTATTTAAAAAAAAAAAATATATATATATATATATAAGGTACTTAAAAAGTGTTAACACTTATATGGAGAAGATGCAGTCACTGAGGGAAATACTTTTCTAAGAACTCCACAATCGGGTCGTGATTTCTTGCACACGACTTATGTAGAGAACAACTTGCCACTCTACATACACATCCAGCATAAAAACGTCATGCTGGACGAGCGGTCTAAGGATCCAGACTCATATTCCTGCAATTACAATAGAAATATGAATTCTGGTTCACGACAGTGGGCCAGAATTCATATTTCTATATATTCGTGGCCACGACAGTGGGCCACGAATCCCACTCATGACAAGATCGTTTGACGCCCGGACTATGGTGCAGCTTACCGCTCTGGACGATCCGGATTAGATCCAGACGAGTTAAAAAAACCCAAGGAATTTTGTCAGTGGTGGTTCCTCCGGATATGTCGGGTCACGTCCCTCACTACCTGGCCGTCTTAGTATGGACTTGGCCGAACTCAAATCGGGTTTACTAAAAAGACCTTCTTTATGACGGATTTTTAAAAAATCTGGCATAAAAGTTGCTTTCATATCAGTGTTAACTTTTGAGGCGCCCTGTATATGTATATAATAATAAATTTATGGTAAGTTGCAAATAAATAATTGGTATCTTACAATAATATGGCTTTTATTTCTTACCTTTCATTCGTTTCTCTGATTTAATGATATCCTATGCGATTTAAGCCATGAATTTCTATTCTTGTTTTATTCCAATGCAATGTTCTACATTGAGGTGTTCGAAATTATCTTTATCCACAATTTACAAATTAATTCTATAACAAAAAGTGATGTTTTTCGTATTTTGCTTACTTAAAATTTGATTCAAAAACCAAAAGATATGATGTTAAACGACAATGATAGATTGGATTGACGTCCTATCACTTGTTTCGTGAAAATTTCTCCAGTTCAGTGATTTTTTGACATCGCAGACAGGTAAAACAAAATAAATACAAAGTGTGTATAATTATGCAGATAATTAACTATCAGGAGAAGCTACTGTAGTGTTTAGAGGTCGTCTCCCTACCCCAATATAAACAAATTCGGATGAGTAGTCGGTCACCAAAAAACTTTAATAATATATTTTAATTACAAAATGGTTAAATTTGTAATAAATTATTACGAAATCTAGCAGAATATGTGCTTAGCCTATTTAACTGATATTTTGTAAGAAGTATCGGTATCAGCTATAGATATCAATCAGCACAATCAGCTGCTACACCCAATGATAAATATCTAAATAAGGCCCTGGTAATTATCACTAGACGCCGAATTTAAAGGGAAGCATCAACAGATGTGATAATTTTAGTTTTCAAATGTAAACAAATTTGAATTGTTATTGTTAGGCATTAACTAAAGCATTAAAGAATCTTTGAAACACCAACATTAAGTCGCTATTTATTTTCATATACAGTAGAAACAGGTTATATTCTCAGGCACCAAAATTCTTTGCAGAGGTCCTAGTTTTATCCGTTATCGCAATCAAAAGTTGGATCATCAAGAAACTTGAAATAGGCACTAAGGTTGTTCTGATTACTCTGTATTATTATTTCCCCCATTGTTATCTTTGTTAAACTGATATTTTTATTTATTTATTTAAATGCAAAATTCAGATAAATTTATAATCAGTTATATTTATCTGAGTGCCATTTTTTTATTACCTACAAATCATTTATTATATACATTTTACTAAAAAAGTTAGATTCTTTAATACCATAAATAGTTTTTAAATATATTAAGATATATTTTTGATATATTAAATTTATTTTTAAGATATAACAAAATAAAATTATACATACTAAACAATATTTAAAATATGTATTTAATTATTATTTCATTTCAAATTTAATTGTCTTTAAAAGATATAAAATATAAAAATGTGTTTATACTAAAATACTTTAGACAGTAATTTGAGTGTTATTATATTTGTTCTAATTTTATCTCAATAGTTCTGATTCTAATTTTTTGTTTAGTGTTTCAAAAATTCTTCAACTTTATATTTGTGTACTATAAGGAAAAATTATATTAAGTATATTTAAGATATAATCAAGATTTAATATAAGGTTGAACTAACTGCTGTGCTTACTCCACTGAATCAATCAATGCACCTTTAACAATAGGTCAAAGTTAGCCTCACAGTATGCTTTTCTTCTTCAACAGAAAGATCTACAAGCAGAACACAGATGGGAACTTTGTTCTGCTTGTAGATCTTTCTGTTGGAGGAGGAAAGTGATTGGTGGAATACTAAGTCTGTAAGCTTTAGGACCACATTTCTCAATCAGTGGCATGCAGAACTCTACAAGAGTCCATGATCCATCATGGTGTGAGTGTTTTAGAGTCTATGTATGACACAAAAAATGTTGAGAACCATTGCTCCAGAATACCTGAGAGATATTGGTATGCATTTCGAACATGGAATAGCAGAAAGTCTCTACTGTTAAAAGTGCATTAATTAATTCAACTTAAATATAGTTTTACAACTGTATTAATGATCCATATTTATAAACTTTTTAACAATTTAGTTTTGTCTTGTACTAATTAAAAAACATCAAACTTACTTTTGCTACAGAAACAACTAACAATTGAAAATTTATCAAAACTTACCTATTTAGATCAAGTATGTTCAGAGACATTGAGATTATTTCCTCCCTTAACCAGGTGGGAAAATTTAAATCTTTTAAAATACGTGTTTAAAGTATCTTCTAAACAATAATATTGTATTATTTTATAGTTTTATTAATAGAATCACAAGTAAGCAATTTTATTACAAAAATATAAAAATACCAGAGGGTTTAACATTACAAGCACCACTCTGGCAAATGCAAAGGAATACAGAATATTGGGACAACCCAGAAATTTTTGATCCGGAAAGGTATGATTAATAGTAGTTTACTTTATAAATGATTTTTACATATAACAATGATAATTTACTAACAGATTTTCTCCTGAAAATAAATCTAAAATAAACCAAATGATGTACCAACCTTTTGGAATGGGACCAAGAAACTGTATTGGAATAAGAATGGCTAAAACAATTGTAAAATTGGCATTATCTCATCTTCTGTATAAATACAAGTTATTACCATCTGAAGAAACAGATTCTGTAAGTTATTCAAGTATCTAAACTTCTAAACTAATTTTCTTTTGCTATTGATTTTAACCTGTGAAAAAAATAACTAGCAATTATATGTATGAAATTGAAAACTTAAATGTTTGACAAAATCAATTTACATTAATACAGTCGACCCCCTATAACACTGTTGATTATTCCGTTTTATATGAATTCCATGTTGTACGAGTCACTTAGATTTTACAAATGTGTGCCGGGCTTTGAATGGTTCACATATTTGTAAAATCTAAGTGACTCGTACAACATGGAATTCATATAAAACGGAATAATCAACAGTGTTATAGGGGGTCGACTGTATTAATGTAAATTGATTTTGTCAAACATTTAAGTTTTCAATTTCATACATATAATTGCTAGTTATTTTTTTCACAGGTTAAAATCAATAGCAAAAGAAAATTAGTTTAGAAGTTTAGATACTTGAATAACTTACAGAATCTGTTTCTTCAGATGGTAATAACTTGTATTTATACAGAAGATGAGATAATGCCAATTTTACAATTGTTTTAGCCATTCTTATTCCAATACAGTTTCTTGGTCCCATTCCAAAAGGTTGGTACATCATTTGGTTTATTTTAGATTTATTTTCAGGAGAAAATCTGTTAGTAAATTATCATTGTTATATGTAAAAATCATTTATAAAGTAAACTACTAT